TACACTGATGCTAGAGTTGTCTTTCCCAAATAGGAGTTAGACCTTGCAGTTCCCCATTTAAAACCTTTCTGAACTTTCCCATCGATTTCAGGATAAAATCTAAACCTTTAGCATGACACTTCACCGGCCCATGCCACATTGCTTTACATCTCTAGGCCTTTGATCACCGTGATCTCCAAACTCACGGTCCTGACAGCACTGCTGTCCCACCAAGTGCCTCTGGTTCTGGCTGAGAGCCAAGTCTTGGAGTAAATTGGAAGATATTCACCCCCAAAAGGATGGAAATGCCCACTTCTCTGAACCCTGTGTCACCAGACTCAACAGACCCCAAATTCTTCCTTTCCTGTTTCCCTTCTGTGTCCGTGGTGATGTCTGACACACATGACAGGAAATGAAGAAAGACGTATCTTTATTTTGGTGCACAGTTTCAGAGGGCTTATTGGGTGCTCACTTGGCCCATGCACTAGGACGGAACGTCATGGTGATGGGAATTCATGGTGGAAGAGCCTTTTCACCTTGTAGTGGGTGGGAAGCTGAGGAACCAGGAACAGGAAAGGATCACGGGAAAAACAGAGCTCCCCAAAGATACGTTCCTAATGATCAGTTTTCTCCCTCTACACAACTGCTTCCCAATAACCCACGAAAATTTGAATCTACCAGTAGGCAAAGCCTTTGGTTAAGTCAGAGTCCTAGTGATATGACCCTGCCTGGAGACAGTCTCACTGACATACCCAGGTATTCTGCACTGACTAATTTTTGTCAGCTTGACACAGGGTAGAGTTATCTGGGAGGAGGAACTGGGGTTGAGAAACTGCTCCCTCCAGATTGCCTTTTTGCAAATCTGCAGGCGTTTTCTTGATTGATGATTGATGGCAGGGCACAGCCACCCCTGGGCAGGTAGTCCTGTGCTGTACATGAAAGCAAGCTGAGCAAGATACGGGTATCAGTCTTACTCAGAATCTCCCCATGACTTCTGACTCAGTTCTTGCTTCCAGGTTCCTGCCTTGAGTTCCTCCTGACTTCCTTCAGTAATGGAGTATGACCTGGGGGTTCTAAGATTTAGAAATAAATCCTTCCTACCCCACATGCTTTTGGTCATGGTGTTTTAGGACAGCAGTAGAAACTCTAAGACAATATTTAATCCAATTGAGTTAACGGAATTAATCGTCAAAGTTTCCTAACACATTTACTTATTTATTTAACACAGATTAACCGAATCCACTCAGTGCTATGCACCAAGCTGATTACAGCATTGAGCAGTCAGTAGAGATCCACAGGATTACAGCCAACCTACTTTGCTGGGCGTCTGCACTGCTTTCTGAATTCAAGTTCCCAGAACCGAACCTCACCAGCCCATTGACTGTCTCCTACCTCCTTCACTCCCCATTATCTTGCCTTTCCTCCACCTGCCAATCTCCTTGATCTACAATTCTGCCCACCCATCCCAAGAACAGTTCGTTTTTATAGACCCTTGACACTGTGCCTAATCATGTTCCTTTGGATCTGAGGTCTCCATCATTAATGTCACTCAGGACTGGATTGGATTCAGACATGCTACAATGTTAATCTCGCCTTGATCACAGCTTTTCCTGGAAGTCACTCTTCACTTCTTTCTCTTTCCATTTGGGTCATTGCCTGTCTTACTATGATACCTCCCTTGCCCCACATGACCTGTCATTCCTGATGAATGTTTACTCTTCATTAGGACAAAGGTCATCTAACCCTAGGAAGTTCCCACTTCATCCCCAACCCCCTCCTGTTGTCTCTGGGATGTGTTTGTCCAAAGCTATTGAAAGCTTTCAGTAAGGCATCTTTACTAGAACAGTCTAGTTCTGCTGGAATTCTGTGCCTAAGACACCTTGTTATTGTGATAACAAAATGTCTGAGAACGACTGCCGAGCTAGAAAAAGAGCTTTGTTTAGCTCAAGGTTTGAAGTCAAAGTCCAAATCACATGACCCAGGATCTAAGGCTTCTTTCTCTAGCTTCATCACTGTATGTGTGGGTGGGTGGGGAGAGTATGTGCAGGAACTAGATTATATCTCAAACCAGAGAACAAAGCCTTGAGGTCTCACAGTCCTTTCTAGGGCTCACCCAAACTGATCCTAGGACCTTTTATGAAGCCTTGAGGCTTAAAACACCACTGCCTCCAAATAGTGCCATCATGGGGACCATTGTTTAAACATATGGACTTTTTTTTGGTGGAGATACAACTGGACCACATAAAAGCCCAAGTGTTCCATTTCCTGTACTTGACTTTAAACTCCATGCATCTTAAAGCAGGATTGCATGCCCAGTGCCTGCCCTAGGATACAACACAGAACAGAATGAGGAAATCCACACCTCACTTTTCTTTTCTTTTTTTTTTTTTGTTTGTTTGTTTTACGAGACAGGGTTTCTCTGTATTGTTTTGGAGGCTGTCTGTCCAGCCCGGCCTCGAACTCACAGAGATCCGCCTGCCTCTGCCTCCCGAGTGCTGGGATTAAAGGCGTGCGCCACCACCGCCCGACCTCACACCTCACTTTTCAAGTTTCCAGCTTCACACTCCATGCTTGACCATGTGTGTTCTTCGCTCTACATCTTTTCTCTAGGGTCCTCTTTTTTCTGTCTGTCTGTCTGTCTGTCTGTCTCTCTCTCTCTCTCTCTGTGTGTGTATGTGTGTATTGGTTTCCTGTGACTTCTGTAATGAGAGCCTTTGATGGTCCCTCAGATGTCAAAAATACTAACTTCCTGGTGACAACTTTTTGACCCATAGTAAGTGGCGACTTACTTTCCAAAGAAAAACAAACATGTAATTGTTCTGATGGTCAAATGACCTGATAGATATTAATGTGACAATGTACTGGGCGGTAAGCTGGTCTGTGTGGGAGGGGAAGGTGGTCTACATCCTTTATCAGAGCATTCCTGTGGGATATGGAGACAAGAAAGACAACTAGCCCATAGGAAACGGGGATTAATGCTCAGAAAGTATATGAGGGGCATATCGGCCTAGGAACCAGCTGTAACGATCTTACAAAACACTCATGATGGTTCAGTATCACATGGTCTAGAACTATATTCTTGCTTGACATGATATTTTGCTGTGACCAAAACTGGCCGTTACAATGTCTTATGCACCTGTCTCAGCCCATAGCTAGATAGTGAGGGGAACGACAGGAACTTTCTATATCTCCTTTATCACTCACGAAATTCAAGGAAGTGCTAGACGTAGTACATCTCAGGGATTTACCTCATGGTATCAGTCTGGCAGCAAGTGTCTTTCTTTACTCAAGGAGCCATCTTGTTGTCCTTGCGTGAGGTAATTCCGTACTTATCTCCCACCATGATTCCCACTGGAAAGGGTTATATTTAGCTTTTAAGTTTTGGTCAATGTTTCTTCACAGTTCTTATTACCCTTCCCTCACTGTCACTGTATTTGTAAAAATATAAACCATAAATTAAAAAGAAACATTCTATGAATACAATATTCAGAGTGGATATCCCAATAGACAGTAGGCAAAAAAATAAAAACAAACCCTCTAAAGGCATATTAGCAATTACTTGGAAACTATGTGATAAAAGTTGGTCCAACTTGAAGAAAATCCAATTTCTAGCAACTCCCATTAACAAAAATTGAAATTAAGAAGTAAATTTTCACAGGAGATTTTTGCTAGGAAATTATCCAGCCTCACATCAGTACCAAATTAATGTAAAATTAAACGTTTAATTTACAGATGACCAACTTTCGCTCAGGAAAGCGACACAAGTGCTATGCTAATCGCCTTGTAGCTGCAGAACTTCCACAACGTTGGGCCTCAAGCTTGCCACTTGCTCTCTCAGTGAGTAATTTGCTTAAAGCTCTGGATCCCTCCCATCCCCCCTTCTTGGTCTATTTGAAATGGCTGAGCTTAAAGGTACGTGATAAATGGGGGTTTTCTTATCTTAACACAACGAGCACCAGAATCGGTCTCAGTTGAAGGAATTTGTACTCTAATTGAGCAGAGATTATTCTTTCAACTCTCCTTTGATATTTGGCATTGGACCAAGGAGTCTAAAATTAGCTAACTTCAGAATCCAGGTGCAGGCCAAGTGGAAGCAATTCCATTTGCCCCAGGAAGTCACAGGAGTTGGTGAAATAGTTTAAGTAGGATTCTAGTTAAACCACTCGCAGAGCCACCTCTTTCTGCAGAGAGTGGAAAACCACCACACTGTGGGGCTGAAAGGGACCAGGGGACATCAGTTAAGGACTCTCAATCGTGCATCTCAGATTGGAATGACGGACCTTTCCAAGCCTTGTTCTGTATCGATAAAACAGGGTCCCTTTTCTTGTCATGTTCACCCCTCAAAGGCATTTTGGGGACTCGATGAGAGAGCGTGCTAGCATAAGCATCACTGTTTTCCATCGTCAATGTGGTGGCTTCAAAACATGTCTATAGATTCTTTATTTCCTCTTCCACCCACATGTGCCAAGCTTAGGGACTCCTTCTTAGCCGCTAGAACACAGCAAACTTCCAGTCAGAAGGTGACTGGTCTGCTCCCGCTTCTCTTAGGACACTCACTGTGGAAGAATCCAGATGTCACATTAGAAGTCTCACTCCTCTGAGACTGCCATGTCGTGGGGAAGCCACGTAAAGCAGGCTCTTTGGCTAGAAGTTCCAGCATTCATGTATCTCCCAGGCTGGGGCACCATAGGTGTGAGTGAATGAGTGTCCAGATAATTCCAGGCCCCACCCATCAAGACAGCCTGGATTTTTAACCTTCCCAGCTGAAGCTCGAAACACGACAGAGTGACGGGCCAGTTTTTCTCTGCTGCTTCAGAACTCCTGACCCACAGTCTATGAGCATATGAAATGGGTAGGGTCATGTGTGTGTGCATACGTGTGTGCTTTCTGGCTACTGTGTGCTATGTGTGATGTGGCAATGGTCACTGGAGCAGTCACACTGGGCAATGGCAATCACTGTGATGTAAGAACATGGTTAAAATAGCAAACTTATCCTGTGTGAGGCACCGTGGCCAGAACCCCAGACTTCTCTCGGTTCTTCCTAGCTCATCAAAACTGAAGCTGGGGGTGGCGGGGGCTGGCGGCTCCCATAGAGCTTAGTAGGAGCTGACCCAGGGCTGAAACCGTGTCTGGCCACACTCAAAGCTCACCCACCCTAAGTTGCATCCAGCGTCCATGCAGCAGGTGACTGGACTTTCCCTGTGCTCTCAGTCTGTGGGCTTCCTCTGGTCCCTCTTTTGTCCCATTTGAAGAACACCCTCATCCCTAGTCACAGAGAAGGAACTAATGCCTCAGACTCCCTTTCTGGGAAGGAGCAGAAGGGACTGTCATCCTTTGCCTGTGGCGAGCCTTTGTTCATTTGTTTTTCCCTTTTGTTTTAAGGAAAAGAGCAGTCTGGTAAGGGTGTCGCATCAACAGTGATATGTTTATCACGAGGATTTCACTACTTCATATCTTACAGGTAAATCAGCTGACGTGCAAAGCTAACCTCTTCGCCGATAATATGCATTTGTTTAGTGCTTGAAGCTTACAGACTGCGTTCACATTCACTGATGTGGGGGGCATTATGGTTTGGATACGAAGTGTCTCTAAGACTTCGGTATTAAATGCTTGCTCCCATTGTCTCAGTGTTCAGAGGACAGCCCTTGGGAGATGACTGGATCATACGCACTACACTCATCAGTGGGTCAATTGGTTGATGAGTTCACAATCGGATGAGCGTTCGGGGAGAAGACAGTTAAACGAAATGGGTCACTGAGAGTAGCTCCTGAAATGGCTTATTGTTGAGTGAAGGCTTTTCCTTCCCAGTCGCCTGGGCTCTGCTGTGTTGTAGTCCCCAAATAAACACACAGGACGCTGTATTAATTATGAAGCTGTTGGCCTTGCTTGTTTCTTACTGGCTAACTCTGACTTAAGTATTTACCCCATAATTGTTAATCTAAGTATTTTTCTTACTGGAGAAAAGGGTCCGGACTTCTTACCCCTACGGCAGCTACATGATGACTCCCTCTGTTTCTCCTTACCAGAGTCCTGCTGGACTCCTAGTCCCACCTATCTTGCTTCCCTATTGGCCAACAGTGCTTTATTGACATATACACAGGACTTCCCCATCAGCTTATCTTGTCTTTGGATCTCTCGCTGACCTGTGAGCCTGGTGGCCATGAAGTGAGTAACTGGTTCCACCCTGGTGCCTTGTTTCACCACAGCCCAGGAGCAATGGAGTCAGGCGACTGAGGATGAGAACTTCTGAAAGCACAGTTAAGTTCAACCCTCGCTCCTTTCAATTGTCTCTGGTGTTTTGCTATAGCAGTAGGAAACTGATAACATAAGTAGGCTCAGGTCCCTTTAAAGAACCTTTGAAGCCGGGCGGTGGTGGCGCACGCCTTTAATCCCAGCACTGGGGAGGCAGAGGCAGGCGGATCTCTGTGAGTTCGAGGCCAGGCTGGACCGACAGCCTCCAAAACAATACAGAGAAACCCTGTCTCGTACAAACAAAAAACAAAACAAACAAACAAACAAAAGAACCTTTTAGGTGGTTTTATCCCGTATATAGGTGACGAAAAAAAGCAGAGCCATCTTGCTCTAAACCCCTGGCAGGTGAGTGACAGGCCTGAGGTTCAAATCTGGGTCTTCTGCTTCCACGCTGTGCCCTTCACAATACACTCCAGTTGGGAGGAGCAAAGAGGCAGTGACATCTTCAGGGTTGACATCTAAAGGGAATGTGACCAGCCTCACAGTATAGGACAGGATATCTCACGGCTCACAGAGCTTGTTTCTTTGCAGTGGAGATGTACCAGCCTCTCCTTGGTCCATCCTCTTGGGGTCTAGCAAGGCGGCGTCCTAAAGTTTCTTGTGCTTTAGGTTCGCAGACACCACCAGCACCCTTACGCGTGCCTGTGATTATTCTTGACAGAAGGGGATGGCTCCATTTGGAGTTTATAATCCCAGAACTGTCAGGCCAAGAATGGAGGATTGAAAGATTAAGGCTAGCCTAGGCTACAGAGTGCTACCTCTCCACTATGAGAACATCAGAGTTCCCAGCAGCAACCTTGTAGGTGGCAAGGCTGACATCTGAGGCTTAAATCAGGGAATCCTGTAAAAAAGAATAGGGAAGAAATGCACATGTGCGCACACGCGCGTGCACACACACACACACCTACCTTTAGACCTACACATCTAAGTCGGGCATTAATTCTATGAGAAAGATGTTCCTCCCAGGAAGTCATGTTGACAAATGAGACTACAGTGACCAAACTGTGAACAGAGCCACTTCTCCATTCATAAGTCATTTAAAGGACGTCTCACTTTGCAATAAAAGTGTTTCCTATCAAAATGCTTACTGAATGGCCACTTAAAGGATGAATTGTAACACTCCCACAGTCCAAGAAATAAAACTGGCTTTGTTAATGCTGAGTCTTAGTGCAAAGTTGGAAGGCTGGATGGAATTCTGGCCTGCGCTTGCAGATATTTGGAGAGCTGCTCAGTCAGCTTTCCTGGAAAAACAAGCCAGCATCCCACCGTATTCCCCCAGTGCTGGTCTTGTCAACATGGGGATCAGTGACAGTGAGTCTAAATCTCCGGCCTCCTCGGTTCCCTGAACACAAAGAGCAAGATGCACAATAGATAACAGATGATGAAAATGTGGTTATTGGGGGGCTTTCCATTATCTACTCTTTCAGGCCGGCTTCATGACATTTCAGAGGGAAAACCTGACCTGGATTTCTTTTTTCATCATTGCACAAGTGCAAAATAATAGACAGATGTGTCTGAAAATATGGGGGATGTATGGAGAAGGATATTTAATTATCCAGAATTATCTAAGCTAACATCTGGTGCCAGGGGATTTTATCTCACTTTATGTTTGTTTTATGTCCCGTCTCAGGGTTATCTGAAATTACATTGACTTCAGGGCTCAGATCAGACTGGGAATCCCCACAGGCAGCAGCCAGTGTAGCATTGAAGTTCACCTACCCTTGACAAGCAAGAGAGGGCACAGCACGACCCCTATTATCTGGACTTGTGTTTCTTTTATCTAGAGTCCCTGACACATTTGGTGTGTTGTGGGAAACTGTGGACAGCACAGAGATGCAAATCAGGGTTTTAGCGCTCTGCTTCATATAAAGGAAGTGCTCTAGTGGCCCAGAATGGTTTCTATTCCAGGAGTGTCTTAGCCCTGGCTAGCACAGGCCCCCTATCTTCTGAAGAACAACAGCCAAACCAGGATCAACCCAGGGCAGTTCGTGAGGTGCTGCTCCCTTTCAGAGCTCTCCCCAGTCACTCTGTCTCTGCCATATTGCCCACTGGTCTAGTAACCAACCTCACTATCCCTCATCCAGACCCTGCTTCACATGGGAAACCTCAGCTGGTGCTCTGGAGCACAGTCAGCCTGGAAACTAACCTGGACAGCTCATCCCAGGCTATGCTAGACACACGTTTCATTTGTCCTGCTCTCTTGTCTCTTGGAGGTGGAGAGAATAAAAAACAACCGATGATGTGTATCTCCTGCTGGTTTTTTCAACTTCAGCTGAAACTGTCCTAAGATACACTTACTTTTACAAATTGTTTTTAAATAAACACATTAACAAAAACTACAGGGATCTCAGCACCTCAGAGGTAATTTGTTGTTTGGACAGAAGTTAGTCTTTACCCCATTGTCCTTCTGCCCAAGTCCATAAGGCAGGCTCCAGGGAATGTCCAGGGACAGCCCCCGAAAGGGACTGCAATGATTTCAGGCACCCACAGTAAGCAGAGAGCTGCAAGGCTTTGATGAGTGTGTGGCTTCCCCATAACTGCTATATTAAATTCTGTATTAAAGTTTGTCTCACGTGCATAGGCACCTGCACTTTCAAGAGCTACATAGGGGAGAAGGGAAGAGACACTATGCCAGAGTGACTTAGCCTCTTTCAGGTTATAGAGGGGGCAGGAAGGACCTGCAGGCTGTCCCATGACCTGCTTCACTTCCAGCTCAATCCCCAAGTAAGAGGGCCATTGTGGGTTGGGATCCATTCTGGGTCCTATGGGCAGGTGTTTGGGCTTCTGGGTTCTCATTGAAATGCAAAGGAAAAGATTCTCACTCCTGTCACCTGGCATACTCCAGAGTCTTGTGATCTTCCCAAAGTAGCATATGGGCAAGGGCCTGAGAGACAAAGCCAGGACAAAGCAGCAGAGGCAGGCACACCCAAAGGCCTCTTGGCCACACCCCTCTTCTCCAACAGAGAAATGGTATCTGCAATAGCTCTCTAGTTAATTTTTATATTTTTATTTAATTTTATGTGCTGGGGGCATCTACGACCACATACATGAGTTCCTGTGCCCTTGGAGGCCAGAGGTGCTGAATCTCCCTGGAGTTGACCTTATAGTCACCTGTGAGCCACCTGACATGGTGCTGGGAACTGAACTTGGATCCTGTGGAAGAACAGCACAGGCTCTTAACCACTTAGCCACCTCTCCAAGCCCCTTAGTTTCATTTATCCCCAATTTTTCATTTGCCTCTCTAGTATTCTGGGGGTGCTAGTAGGAATCTAATCACATAATTCCAGGGCTGACTTCACTGTGGATGGAAGCAGTGTCCCACAAGATACCTTTGCATAACCAGCGGGAACAGGACAACTCCCACAGTTTGTGAACTCTCATGAAAGCCAACCTTCTCCAGAAAGCACTGTCACTTCCCTGTGCCTTCCACTCTCTTTTCCTTCAGGAGGGAGGAGACAATCCCATATGGGCTGTGAGGACAAGGAACGCTCCATGTAGAGTCCAGTCTTCTCCTGAGTCATTCCATCATCATGTGTGACATCAGCACGTTGTCGGCCAGGCAGAGGAGGTGTGGCGTGTACAGCCGGAAGTGGCGCAGGAAGGCGGAGATGGCAAAGGTGTCGGGGTACAGCTGGTGATATGCCCAGGCTGGACACGGGGTGACCCCTACATAGCTTCTCCCAGCATCCAGCCTCCAGCCTAGTGCTGTGGGCAGATGAACTGAGGAAGATTCCAGGCCTGAAGCTCCAGCCCAAGGCCCTCATAGTATAGCCCCCTCTGCTCTTCTCCCAAACACGACTCTGCAGAATTAGATATCACCCCAGTCAGTCATCATCTCCGAATTCACCCCCCAGAGCACAAACAAGCTGATGCAACCCACAGCCTGTGGCACAGTTAGCAGGCTCCTGATGGCAGTGTGAAAACTGTGGCCGAGGGTGAAATGTTGCCCCACTGCTCTGAAAAGCCTTCTGCCACCTGCAAAGACTCATTATGGTAACAGGAAGGCCCTGGAAGCTAAGCACAGTATAGACAGGAAAGAATTCTCTTTCTCTGCCCTTCATGAAAAACCAAAAGGTTTTAACCCACCAGAGTCCTGCTAATTTCCTAAGCAATGCCTAGCTTAGGGTTCCTCCTTCAGTTAGGCATCCAGGAAGGTGCAGAGCTCAGCCAGAAGGTGTCTGCTGAGTTATGCCAGAGATGGTGCCTGGGAGTGTCACTGAGTGGTCTTGGTTGTGCATGACAGCTGTATGGGCAACCCACAGGACTAAGGGATTCTGGGACTAATCTCTGTTTTTTTTTTATAGCCTACTCCATTTTCTTTATTTTTCATTCCAGCTACATCAGTCAAACATTTAATTGACTAATAACAAATGTCCATTGAAAAGCCACAAGATGTGGAGTCCTGCACTAAGCGATTCAGAGATAAGGGAAATACCTGTCCTCAGGCTAACACAGGATGGGCAGGTAGGTGTGACCGGAGAGTTGCACGCAGCAATTGTGGTGTGGTGCAGAACTGGGAATCTGGTGGCGCATGAGCAGGTCAGGTGGTCATGAAAGAAGGGGTGGACTGTGCTGAGGGGTCCCAGGGGGATAGATGACACGACCACATTTACATGTTGGGATGTCTTTTAGAACATGCGGCAGGCGGATCTCTGTGAGTTCGAGGCCAGCCTGGTCTACAGAGCGAGTTCCAGGACAGCCTCCAAAGCCACAGAGAAACCCTATCTCGAAAAACCAAAAAAAAAAAAAAAAAAAAAAAAAAAAAAAAAGAGCATGCACTGCGGTGTGGAGAATACACTGAAGGGAGCAAGAGACAGGAAGGGCAGGAAGAGGAAGGGTCAGGGCAGAGGTAGTGATGTCTGAGCTAGGGCAGAGGAAGGGGGTTCTTCTGAGGGCTCTTCAGATGGGACTAGAGAACTAGGGGGTTGAGTGTGGTGTGGCTAATGTCCATGTGAAATGTTTATGATATGTCACGCCCTGCTGCTTGTTACTTTTGCAAATTTAATAGTAACCATAAGCTGGAAATTGAGGCCCAGACAGGTTAAATAATTTGTCCCAGGTCACACAGCTGACAGATGGCAGAGTCAGAATTCCCCAGGTTTCAAATCCCAGACTTTGAGGCCTCCTTTTCCTGCTCCTGCCCGTGTCTCTCTGAACTTACCTGTTCACCTGCCCACACGTGTAAGCTATACTCCACCCAGTGGTATACCAGTAAATGAATAGTTAACAGCCTCGAGACAAGGTCCTGTTTTGTAGCCCAGGCTAGCCTTGTACTGCCTATGTCATATAGACTGGCCTCTAACTCATGGTAATTATCCTGCCGGTCTCGTGAGAACTAGGATTACAGGCTGTGTCATCATACCTGACAGTGTTTAACAGCTGGCTCTCTGATAGACAATAGCCTGGTTTGCAGCCTCTGCCGATCACCATGGTGTAAATACTCCACTGAAGCCCACTCCAAGCTGTGAAGATGATGGCACAGAACACAAGGTTCAGCTTATGAGCCAATAGGAGTTGACTCCAGCACACCACTTGCCATACCCATGCCTATGGCTGGCAATGGTTTTTACTCATTCAGTACAGAGCACTTCAGACCATACCCCAACCCTCCACCGGGCTTTATGTGGCTCTGTAAAGCATCTCTAAAAGCCAACATTCATGTCCTATCATCTATTACCCACTGCTGACAGTCCAAGGGGACAGCTGAGGCCAAAACATTGACTAGACCTTAAAAGCTCTTGTTCATTCCAGAGAGGCCTCTGTCCCCTTGCCACAGCAGAATTAACTTCCACAGTCCTGTCCTCCTCCACCCAGTAAGCCCCATTTTATGGCACTTGAGTCTTCAAACCAGCAATGCCAGACTCAAGCTCCATGAATGCCTCACAGAGACCTGGCTAGAGAAATGCTGGCCTCTCATTTATGGCCACCCCACTGAGGTCTATTCTAGACTCCACCCTTCTCAATCCACCCGGACTTTCAGCAGAACATCCTTTAGCACTACTTTTTAGGATGAGGTTACCCAAATGTGGATGTTGGTGGCCTCTTATTCAGAGGCCCTATAGCTACCTACATGGCAGCTCTCAGACCCTTACGCATTGTCTTTATCCACAAACTCTGTCCTTCCCTGCAGTGCCAGCCTTTGTGGCTGACACTGTATTCACCCAGCCAGCTAAGCCAGATACATAGGTATGACCTGAACCTTCTTCTCTTCCTGTACCCTGCCTAGGTACCAGACCTTATGATGCTTGACTGTTTAATAGTAGTGATATTCCCACTGCCCTATCTCTATCAGGGATGTCACCATGTTTCTGCTTAGTTATTGCCACAGCCTTGTGACTGGGCTCTCTCACTACAACCCGTAGTTTTCTTGCTGTTGGGAAACAGAATTCCCTGAGACTCTTGCTCTGCCATCTTGCTTGGTGCTTAAGGTACTTAGAGTCCTTGACTCTACCCTGGCTTTCACATCTGCTGAGCCCTTCAGTTTGGAGGTCAGAGTCCTTCCTCTCTCCAGTTTTGGTTCCCAACTCTTTTATGGGCTGTGACCATTCCTGTGATTCAACATCTCTGCTACCTAAGCAAGCAGTGCTCCCTTCAGTGTGAGCCCAGAGGTGTCCTCTAGCCCAGCCCAACCCCAGGTCTCAGCCATAGTCCTTGGAAAAGTGTCTACCCACTTGTGTGTTTGTATCTCCTGGCCAGGCAGATACCCACTCTTAGCCAGGAGGCTGCCCCTCCTCAAAGGCTTGGGAGTCTCTAAATTTAGGCATGAACTGGAAGAGATGCCCTGGAGAACTTGTAAAGGGAACAGCTGGAAGTGGGAGACAGCTCAGTAGCCCAGACCCTGTTTCTTCCTCTAACTCCTAATTAAAGACCAGGTGGCTTCCCAGGAAGCATTTGCTTTCCCTTTGTGCATCCATGGCATGACATGTAAAGACCCAGCCAGTGGGTATGACCTGCAAGTGACATATTCTGGGTAATTACGTACCGTCTATGGTGCTGCCATGTAAATCACACATGCCATCAAAGAATGACCAGTTTTCCCATGCTCACAACTGAAGATTAATACTTCCCTTTGACATCTCTATAAACCTCCATAGTATTGTGGAATAATCTTTTTGTATGCTGTGAAGATGTGTCATTGCCAAGGCAACTTCTGATTGGTTTAATAAAAGAGATGACTGTCCAATAGCTAGGCAGGAGAGTCAAACTGAGAGGATGCTGGGAAGAAAAGGAGGGCAGAGTCACAGGGAGTCACCAGCCAGACGCAGAGGAAGCAGGACATGTAGAAAATGAGATAACAAGCCATGAGCCATGTGGCAGCCTGTGAATTAATAAATATGGGTTAATTTAACTTGTAAGAGCTGATTAGTAACAAGCCTAAGCTATCGGCTGAGCATTTATAATTAATAATAAGTCTCCATGTGGTTTTTTGGGAGCTGGCTGGTGAGACATGGTCATTTGGAATCTATGGCACTGGGAAGCATTCATGATCACCAGTCAGTGTGTTTCCTTTTTAGACCTTTCTATTGAAGTTATGATTGGCAGGTGGAAAGCTGAATGTGTGTGTGTGCTTGTGTGTGTTTATATGTGTGTGTGTATATATATATATATATATGTTATATATATACACATATATCACAGAATGAATTTGGATACCTTTCCCCATGAAGCAATCACCATCAGATAAAGGTTTTCTCAGAGGAGGCTGTACCATCACCTGCCACACATTAGCACTGTTGGCCCTTCTCAGCTAACCCAGAACCACATGGCCTAATGAGTTAAAAGTAAAGTAGGATATCTGGGAAAAACATTAGGAGGCTGGTGCATGGAGAGGGTAGGGTTGGAGGTGGCAGCCCTGTTCAGTTGCAGACTCGCTGTGACTGACATCTGGGCTGTCAATGCCCTCCAGTCAGACCAGAAGGCAGGCGTGTCCAGCAGATCTCTGAAGCAAGCTACCCAGGTGAGTTTCCTCTCTGCCTTCAGGAATGTAATGCTCGGCTGCTGCCTGGTCCCCTACCTCTGCCAAAAGCCGGGGCTGGCTGGGTGTGGTGGTGCATACCATTAATCCCAGTATTCACGAGGCACAGGCAGATGGATGGCTGTGAGTTCCAGGACAGACAGAACCCTGTCTTTTGTTGTTATTTTCTTTTTGTTTTTTTTTTTCTCTGAGACAGTGTTTCTCTACGTAACAGCTCTGGCTGTCCTGGAACTCACTTTGTAGGCCAGGCTGGCCTTGAACTCACAGAGATCCACTTGTCTCTGCCTCCCAAATGCTGGGATTAAAGGTGTACACCACTCCACCCCCCCATCCATCCCCACCTCCTACCCACAAAATCCTGTCTTAAAAAAAGGGCCATGGGTAGAGGCTGGTCAAGGCCCTTTCCCAAAGAGCACGTGTGATTGCTGAAATGTACATGAGTGTATGTGTCTCTTTCTGTCTGTGTATGAGCATCTACATTTAATAGTACGAAAGTAGATGTGTAGACAGAAAAAACATGCCAAAGTGTGGGACAACTGAAGACAGAACTGCCCTGGTGGGATTAAACTGGAAGTGTCAGGTAGAAACCAACACAACCTGTGTGTGCACACACTGGAGAGCCACTGGCTGCTTACAGTGGAGCTGGAAACGCATCTATTAGATATAAAAGAAGAGAGAGCCATCAGCATCCGCCCATTAATAGAGGTCACACTGGACCTTGGAAGTTAAAACCAGGGTGATGCAGTCATTCGGAGACAGAGCTCATAAACTAAGTGAGAGCAGCCTGCGTAGAGGAGAAACATTTAATTAGACAGCAGCGATGAGAGATCTGATTCCAGCCTTACAGCCCACAGGGCCCCCGTGAGGAAGCACAGATAGCGAGGCCTTTCCGGAAGGCGGCCAGAAGGAACCCCCCAGCTTCTCATTTCACGGGAAGAAGTTGTCCAGCAGCCTAAAGTGCAAACAGAGCCCTACATGAGAGAGCTGCAGGCACCCCTCAAGTCATGACATCTTTCCTCTGGCCCCTGGCAGACACTGATTCTGCAAAAGGTCACCCTAGAGGATTGAACAGTCACAGCTGAAAGCAATCCCTTTCAACCGAAAGGCCATCTCTCCAGCAAGCTGCAAGACCCGAGAGCCAGCGGAGTGTTGCCACAGGGGTCCCTAAGGATCTGAGCACTGGCTGGAACAGGCTTGAGAGTATACAAGGTTCTGTGGGGTAAGGTCAGCACTCACACTTCCAAGACAAGCAAGCAATCTATAATTTCCTAACCCAGGGAGGAGACAGGATGAGTGCCAACCATATAACTTCCCGAAAAGCACAGCTGGCAAGCACGCCCATACCGTTAGGCTGCAACTCCCCAACTAATTAAAAGGTAGAGCCAGGAGAATGTCGGTATTGCTACATAAGTATCTCCTGGGAAAAATGCTCCTGGTTTTGTAAACCCAGGGCTCTGACTACACTTCCAGGGTTCTGTCCAGTGATTATAGTGTAAAAGTAAATGTATACAGACATCTGAGTGGGGGTGGGTTTTGAGGTAGGAGTGGGAGATGGCGATTGGATAAGAACTCAGGCAGAGAGAAAAGCCCTGGGATAGAAAGAGGCAAAGCAGAAACAATAGGCAAAGAGCTCAAATTGCATCCCAAGAGAGTTAGTGCATCCAGGAGGGAAAAACAACCCTCCTGCCCAAGGGGCTGTTAGAGCAGTTCTCTGGGGGGTGTTTTCCTCTCTTTCTTTCTAAGTTTAACAATTATTGTTTTCACTTAACCCAGCCTGGAATAGAAGAATAGACCAAATCAGTACCAAGAGTCTGTTCTGCTTTGTGATTCTATGAAAAGAAAACTAATTCTTTCCTTAAAACGACACCCTATTGGGTCAGGAGAATTCCCCTGCTCTGCCAAACCTGAAGCACACACATTTCCCAGGTTAGGGGTTGCAGAGGGAGCCCAGCAGGCAGGCTGTCCTCGCTTCTGTCCACTTTGTAGGTCACTGGGGGTGTTATTCAGTGGGGGTACTGGGTACATGGCTGAGCTTCAGGATGTCAAATAGAACTCTGACATCAAAGGAGAGGACAAAACAGTACCCTTCCCCTGGAAGGTGGTGGCATCTGGGATTTATAATCCTCAGGCAGTGATGAATTGCACAGATAGGATTAGGAGAAAGGTTTCGAATGAACTCCTGGATGGCTCAACCGGCCCTCGTTCCAGATCCACAGAGAATCTATCCTAAGTCTTTTCCGTTAAGATTTTAAGTTGAAATATCAAGAAAATCCTTTGAAAGATCTAACGTAAGCACTGGGACATTGGTAGGGAGACTTGCCCTGTTCCAGGCAGAGGCAGTCAGAAGGGAAGGGGACATTAGTCATGGAGGCAGGCGGTGGCTGACACGCACAGGCTCTGATCCTAGCCTCTGGAAAACCGCATAAGGCTCCTGGACTCTGAATCTGAGCCACGCCTTCACTGTTCTCCAGTGACACCACCAGGAGGGAACCCAGAGTTCAAAACATTTTCTTGTCACCACGCTCTCATCCCTTGTGTGAGCAGCAGGCATGGGAGGGCTAACTGTACAGGGTGGAATTGAACCTGCTACCTCCTCATGAACTTTGAAGGAAGTGAAAATCATACATTGAGGGAGATGAGCTAATGATCCAAAGCGTTATCAATTTAGCCAAATTCCATTTGACAGGAATGCTAGCCATAATCAGGGAACTGTGGTGGAGAGAGGATATTGAAATATGAGGTGTACCCTCGCTCCAACTTTAGGGAACTACCTTGATCTTAAAGACAAATTGGGGTTCAGGGCCAGTGACAGCAGCAGAGGAACACCATCTGGGTGCCCCCATATGGCTCTATGCCAAAGATCATCTCTTATACCTTATACCTGTGCAGGCTCTTGGTGGAAGCTATAAAGAACGTCCAAGCCTATGTATGGAATAATCTGATGACCACTGTATTATATTTTGGCACAGAATGAGAAGTCAACCCTCCTTATTCCCAGTTCTAGCTCCTCATCCAGTACTAGCAACACTAACCAACGTTTATTCATCATGCACTATATCATTCTATCCTTACGCTAATCTTCTGAAAGTAATTCTACTATTTTTATCAATTTTATTGGCAGGGAAACTGAAAGATGATGAAACAGAATTGAAAGAAGATGGAAATTAAATGGACTTTTAAAAATAATTTTATTTCATTGTTTTAATTCATTTTTATTTTTATGTATATGAGTGTTCTGTCTGCAGGTATGTCTGTGTATCATGCTTGTGCATAGTACCCGAGGATTCAGAATAGGGCACAGGATCTCCTGTAACTGGAGTTACAGGTGATTATGAGCATTATGTGCTGGGAACTGAACCCAGCAGCAGGGGCTCTTAACCCTGAGACATTGCTCTAGCCCTTAAATGGCTTTTTTGTTGGGGGGGGTCATACAAGCAATCTAAATTTCAAATCCCATCCCCAAACCCACTCTGAATTCCCTATGTAAGCATTAGCAGGCCCAACCCTGCTTGGCTTCAAAGATGAGATGCAGAGCACTCAGGGTGGGGTGGTAGTAACTGTATTCTTGGTATTTGAGAAATGGAGGGAAAATAGCAAAGGAAGTGAAACTTCACAGAGTACATTGGCATGTGAAATCATCTCACCTGGAGAATTCATCTTCATCCCCGTCTAGGAACCAAGAGCTCTAGCTTTTTATTAAGATTGCCTCATTGTCATCTGCAAATCTAGGACAGATCCCATAATTTCTCCACATTCCTCTTTCCTTCCTCAGGGGAACAGTGAAGCAAACCAGTCCTCTTAGATAAAGTTTGGAGCTGGCAAAGTGCCCTGAAGCTGCTAAGAAAGGAAGGCGAGATGTCTGTGCAGGCTTCTAATCTGTGGGATGGCTACGTGAGGGAATCATGGACATCTAGACGTTGGCACCACACCTCGGAACCCATGTTCCATGAGAGTTTTGTTATTAGGTGAATACCTCACTCAGCAGGAGAATCTCTCCAGCCGCAGTCCTGAGATGGTACTGGGGCCTTTTAGAGCCTGGGAGTCTTTCGGGTCACCAATAAGCCATCTCTCCTCTACATGCTCCAGACCTCTCTCAGTGCAACTCCCCAAAGCTGCCAAGCCACCTGCCTTCTACCTTGCCCCAGGATCATTTCTTTTCTTGCCACCAGACATTAGCTACTGTCCTCTGGAGAGCCTTGATGAATCATATTCTACTTCTGCATGGAGGTCCTCAACACAGGTGACTTGTTCTGCCTCTATTAAACACTCTGTCTATAAAATTCTGTGGCTCTTGTCATTCTCATCTTCTTTCTCTGAACGCTCTTGGGTCAAATGTTTTTGAAATGCCTCGCCTTCCACTGGCTCCATTGACATTTGCCAAGTGTCTACCAGGAAGACAGACATTGAGAATTCACAGTAAATGCCGGCATCGCCACGTTGAGGAGACTACGTGAGATACGAGAGTGTAATGTGCTTAAGAAATTGGAATATAATGTAGGAAGGGCAGTTTTCAAGCCTGGGGAGGTGGAAACCCCCAGAGGACGGCATGGCTGACAGGCGTAGAGACGTGTGGGGAGGGCGATACTGAAGAGCCAGTGAGTGGAGCTATTCTGAGAACCGCCGATGGCTTAGGACTTCGGGGGGGGGGTTATAAACAGAGACCACAGGTTTGGATTATAGATCATAGATGAAGAGATAGATTGGAGAGGTCAGTAGGGGCCAGATCATGAGGGACATTGCATGAGATGATTCTGAGGACAATAGGAATCATGGGAGACTTGTAAGCAGGAGAGAATGACACACTTACGTTTGAGTTTTAAGAAAAAATCACTTTGCTGGCAAGACAGAGAAAGGTCTGGAAGTGGCTCTGAGACTGAGACTGGGAAATGCTGTGACTAGGCCAGGGTAGAGCAAAGCAGACCTCTCACCTCCATTCTTCTAGAAGCCAGGCCCTGTCGGCCGCCTCTTGTGATGATGAGCAACACTGGTCTTCCCAGCTCCCTTTTGTTTTAAATTCAACTTGAACAACTGGACCTTTTCCCTTTACTCAAGATGGGGTCTCACGTCCGCCCAGGCTGGCCTTGAACTCACTGGGTATCCAAGGATGAGCCCAAATTCCCTCTGCCCCTCCTGCCTCCACCTCCTGAGTGCTGATTACAGGCATGCAACACCACCTCTGCTTTGTATGATGCTGTAGGGATTGAACCGGAGGCCTCATACATGCCAGACCAGCAACCCATCAACTGAGGTACCCGCCCAGCCTTCAGCTGAATGGAGACACTAGTTCTGTCCCAGCACTTATCTCTGTGACCGGCCATGAGGAGTAACCCAGTAGGCAGCACCCCTCAGTGTCTCTGCTTCAGTTCCTGCCTCAAGGTTCCTGCTCTGCCTGGGTTCCTACCCTGGCTTTCCTCGGTGCTGGAGTGTGACTTCAGAGCTCTAAGAGGAAATAGATCCTTTCCTCTCCTAGTTGCTTTGGGTCATAGTTTTCAACACAGCATTAAAAACCTAACTAGAGCATCAACTATTTTAAATTTAATCTTGTTAGTGTCTACCCTCTTTTTTATGTTCTAAAATCTTGGTGCATCATGGTCTTAAGGGTAAATACTGAAAGATTTGCTGAAGGGTACAAGAATAGTCAGCCATGCTGGAGGCATCGGTGAGCCTGGGCTCTGACTCCTATACTTGACACCCTGGTATTCTGCTTCTCTGGGAAACTGATCTGTCTAGAGAAACTAAAATCAAGATGGACTAGAAGAAGCTGGGCGTTGGTAGCGCACACCTTTAATCCCAGCACTCGGGAGGCAGAGGCAGGCGGATCTCTGTGAGTTTGAGACCAGCCTGGGCTACCAAGTGAGTTCCAGGACAGCCTCCAAAGCCACAGAGAAACCCTGTCTCGAAAAACCAAAAAAAAAAAAAAAAAAAGATGGACTAGAGGCAAGAAGGGGAGACTCATATGTCCCTTTCTAATATTTCTTCTTGATGACCAAAGCGATCTCAGAGTTGGAATAATCTACAATCCACAGGCTGGGGTTGCAAATCTTCACGTGGCTGAAGGTTAAAGTTACTCAAACACAATCACTGTGGTACTTGACAAAGTCAGAAGGTTTAGGAGATTTTCATAGCGGAAAACCATGTCTTACAGGCCAGCAAACGCTGAACAAGAGCTTCTCAGTGGAATGGAATTAGTTCAGATCTTAAAGGTGAGACTGGGCAGGCATTGGGAGGTAGGGAACTCCAGGGAGGGCTTCAGAAGGGAGGTGGGTTTGCAGAACTCTCAGAGAAATGCCTAGACAATCTGGATTTTTCTCTGCTGGGCTCCAACGTGGTCAGATCTTCTTTGCATGGCCTCGTGAAAGCTGGTGACTGGACCATATTCTCCAGAGATGGCCTTTTCTAGGTTTCTGGAAGTCAGCAGTGACCTAAATCCTGCCCTGCCTGGAGTGTCACCCCTCAGTCAGCCCATCCGTCCACCACAGCCTTCACACCTCTGCTAGCTCTTTCTTCCTCTCTTAGTTCCCCTTGACTTTAATGCTAAAAATAAAATGATAGTCAAAACAGCAAACAAAGGCCAGCATCCTCTCTTGGCATCCTGCTGAACCTGCCAGCCCTGCTCTAGACTTAACCTTTCCTGTACCTCATTTCTCCAAGTCCCACGAAGGCAGTGCTCTCTTATTGCCTGAGTTCTTTAGCAAAAAGCCATTGTGGAAACTTTGCCGTTGCCAGGTGACAAGAACTTTGTCAACTCCTTCAAGCTGAACATATGGTTATCTTTTAATATTGGTCGATTGTCCAGATTTCAAAAGGCACTTAAAGCAATAGGAATGACTCCAAAATCTATTCTTCATGTAGAGATTAAGTAGACCTTTTCCAAATATCCGGCACATAAGTTTTGGGGGGTTTGTTTGTTGAGTAGTAAACCAAATTGTGTATATTTCACTCAATTCCCAGTACTTACTGTCCAGACCAGAAAGGAGAGCCCAAGCCCATTAGCCTGATCTAAGGTAGCTGGTTGTCTCCAAAGCCCTCTCTCCCAGTAACAAAGCAATGGGGTAGTTATCCTGTTCCACAAACTGGCTGCCAAGGTCCTCACTAGAGCTGTCAACGCAACAGTTTCAGTATTGTGTGTGTGCACATTCGGGCACTGAGTATCACACGCAGGGCCTCCTGTATGCTACACAGTTCCCTATCTCCTCACTATACCCCAAGCACAGAGAGCGCTTTGTGTTTTCTATCTGGTTTCCCACATCTTCGGTAACACCTGAAAAGCTTTGCTGGTATCCGGTTTACACTGACTCTCTTCCTTGATAGGAAATTCCAAACTCTGGCAAGAGATGCCCCCCACACAGTCCCAAACAGCGGGGAGGAAGGGCTTGGCTGGCAGTGAGAATTTTCAAGGGGTTCAAGACAAGCCACATTCTAAAAAGAATGAACTAAAAGGAAAGCTTATTCTGGTTCCACACATGAGGCACTGGTCCATATTAGCATTTAAGAGTCCCCTCTTAACCATCCCAACTGGGTACTGCCAGGTTTCTGGTTTTCAACGTTCCTCTGGCCTAGAGACTTTCTTTCAAAGCCAGCAAACTTGCCTGATGCCGTGGCATGTGGGCATGTGGACAGGTGAATGTCAGGTGCAGATGCTGTGCCCTCCCCACCCCCCGCCCCCCACCGACTGAGCACACCAGGCTCCCTCAGCCTGCCAGTGTGCTCCCTCAGTTCTGAACCACGAAGCACAATGGATCATCTCTCAGCAGGGGCTCACCTGGCTACCCTGCCTAGCTGGCTGCCTGTGTGCTATGCAGATGTTTGGTATCACAGGGCACCTCCTGTCTGGGAAAGGGGTGTCTGTTCTTAGGAAACTAAAAGAAGGATTATTTTTTTTAATCTGTGTGTATTCTGAAGGTAGCCTGCAACATTTTCTCTAAGAGGAAATAATTGGGAAAGAATGTCTGCCAGTTGGAACTAACTTGAAATAAACTGTTATTCCATAGAGAAGAATAAAAAAGGCCACATTTGCTGCTATGAAAAAAGTCTCTAAGACTACAGGTTTGAGAAAGAAAGGAAAGCAAACAAAACAAACAAACACACACACACACACACCAAGATTATTTTAAAGTATGTTGTGAGCCATTGAGATGGCTCAGCAAATAAAGACACTTGTCAGCAAATAAAGACACTTGTCACCA